ATGATGATGATAATAGATGATGATGATAATGATGATGACAATAGATGATGATGATGATGCCGACGATGGTATTCCGGCGGGCCTTCTGCCGTAGCTGCTGCTGAGGTCGTCGATGGCAATGTGATTCTCATCACATAGGCTTATCTCTTCTCTTTAATTGACATTCCAATTCCCAGCAAAATGTCACAAGGTACCTCCCAAAGAGAGCATTGCGATTTTTTCGCTAAGTGAAATCGATTTTTCCTAATGTGTGGCCCAAACAGGCAGCTACCAGTTCCTGCCTGGCCCTAACGTGTTGGAAATCGGAGCAAGATACACAAGGTTGATTGGCTGACGGATTATTAATTAACTCTACAGTTGATTATCAAGTTGGTCTCTCCAAGTCCCCTCCTCCTCTCTCCTCTTCTCTCCTCATCTTCCGCCCGTTCGTTCCTCCCCTCACGCACGCGGAGTAACTGCCCGAGCGCGGATGCTTTTCCCCTGTGCTTGTTGTCGCGGGAACACCTTGCTCGCGCTCAACTCTCTCCTCGCTCCCCGTATATCCGGATGAGAGCCGATGTCCTCCTCCCGGAGCTTGCTTGCACTCCGCAATAGCTAGACGCTAGGGACACCTGGCATGCGATCCCCCACAATGCCTGCTCCTTCTCCTATATCCCCCTCCATCCAAGTCTCGACCTTGTATTCACGCAGGGCGCTCAAAGAGGGCCACAGTCCGTCGTTGTTCCAAAATCGCTCGGGGCTGGCCCCCGGTCAATTGCAGCGCCAGGCACCCCCGACCGCGCCTGCCTGATGTCCATTCCCAGTTCAGTAGACTGGCGTAGTGGTCCCAAAGCTGAAATAAAGCGCCATAGTGGCACCAAACGTGGAATAAATGGCCGCAGTGACGGTGCCGAGCCTGGGTTAAATACCCGTGATAACGCCGAACCTGGAATAAACTGCCGCCAACGTCTCAAATCTGAAATGAMCTACCGCAGTCRTCTWAGACCTGAAAATGAATCACCGCAGAGGTTCCGAACYTGAAATAAATCGTCACAGTGGTCCCGGACMTRAAAATAAATCACCGCAGAGGTCCYGAACCCGAAATAAATCRTCGTGAGGGCGTCGAACCTGAAACGAAACACCACGATGCCACYGAACCTKACCAGACCYAAAATCCAGTACCGGGCTGCTGTGCCACGAGGATGCCGAACCCGTACAAYCATGCCATGATAATTCCATAACTGTCCCGAACCTGATATACAATRYCRCAACGTTTCCGAACCTGAAAACAAACTGCCGCCAAAGTTCCAAACCTGGAATAACTGTTGTAGTAGCCCCGGCCCTGAGAATAAATCACCGTACCTGTCCCAAACCTGAAAATAAGCCACCGTAGTGAAACAAYTGTCACCGSGCCCATACCGCACCTGAAGCACGCCAGACACCGTAGTACGAAGCCACTCCGTAACAACCCTCGTATCCGTACTGAACCAAACACCATAGTCGACCCAAGGTAGCACCACCCCATGCTGTCCATGCGACTCCCGCTCTCAGAACAYCCCAAATGCGGTAATGTTAGTAATCAAGCAAACCAGGGAAAGCGACGCAGGGAACCTCGACCATCGGCAGTAGTGAAAACTGTTAAAATCCGGGGAAAATGTTCAATCCGGGGTCATAGCTAATGGCGGGTAATCGACGCGAAATTATACCAATCTCCTAATAATCATGGGTTCCCGTCCCTTTCATCATTTTTCATCATTCTTCCCTTTCCTTAATTCTATTGTTGGAAATGGTAAATTAACCGTAAGATCCCCAAAATAAAATTCCGAGAAAGTTTAAATAAATGGCCGAATTCCTTTTATTTCTTTTCTTTTTTACTATTTATAATCTTTTTCTATGTTTTTAATTTCATTGCCGGGAACATAAAATAAAAGGGGTATTCCCCCTTGAATTAAATGTCGTAAAAAATAAAGAAATTAAGGGATATTATGTTTTTTCCTTCTCCCCTACTGGTCGTAATCCCTTTTCCCCATCTTTAATTATGGTACTAAAATAGACAAAAATTAGAGCCTCATTTCGGCCCCGGTCATATACCGCAAAAAATGTGGCTGCGAGGTCAGTTCCCGCGATGCCTCCCCGCGGCAGGCCAATCCGGGTCTAACCCTCTGAACGGTCGGAAATGACGGTCTATTGATGTGCCGAGTGAACCACCCATCTTGCCATCTTTGAGGGTTACCCGTAAGGTTCAGCGCGCCCAAAATCAAGGGCGCCCTGAGCTCCCCTTATTTCCGCTGCCTGGTCTAACCAGAGTACCGTCAAAACTCAGACTCGTCTTTGTGCCTAAGTCCCAAAACCGTAGATTTCAGGCGGCGCACTGCTTGTGGCCGCCTAACAGTTAGCCCGGACCACTTCTCGACGCCCCCGTCGAGCCCTAGCAACTTACGTCAGACGAAGCGGACGAGCTTCAGGGTGATGGTCCGTAAAGGACGCCCACGTCGGCGTTCAATTGTCTTATGTTTCAGTTTGTTATGAGTCCTGGGGCTAAGAAGATGCTTCTTGACTCTCCTGTTTCTTCTGGTTTTTGGTCCCGGCACAATCCTCTTTTTCTTCTGTCTTTGCCCCGAGTAGGGTGTCGACATGCCAGTACGTCTACCCAGAACTCTCCGTCTAGCTCGCTTGAGCACGAATAACCATCTCTTCTCTCTTCCTAAAGCTAACCCTTTGACCTTTCTCTTCTCTATTCTTTTCCTTTTCTTGGAACTCTCCCCTGCCTCGAATTGCCTCAAGGGGGCTCCATCCTCCATTATGGCTTTTCCTTTCCCTTTCGGGCTGGTCAGCGATAAGGCGGGCGTGGGCCTGGGCCTAAACAACTTTAACCTAGCACCCGCCACTGGGTCCTTCCACTTAGATCCGTTTAATTTTGCTATCATATATGCAGCCCAGTCGAGTGCCTCAACCACTCTGTAAGGTCTCATCCATCTGTTGGCGAGTTTTCCGGTCCAGGCTCTTTCCAGCTCTGCATCGTAGAGAAGGACCATATCTCCTACACTCACCCTCTCCTTCCTGATTCTCACGTTCTTATCCCATCTCTTTTTACCTTTGTCTCTTCCCACTGCCAGACGATCTGCCGCTGTCATAAGGTTATCTTCCAAACCGTAGGCTATCTGTCTTGTTCGGTAGCTATGAGTTCCTCTCTGGACATCTCCTCCGCCCAGTCGACGGTTATCGAGCTGTCGACATGAAACTCTATGGGAAACGGACAATGTCGCCCAAACCACAAGGTGTATGGTGGGTATCCGGTACTAGCCCGGACCGTGACGTTGTCCGCCCATATTGCGTATCGAAAATATCGTGGCTAATCACTGTCCTTACCCTTGCACCACTTGGACAGTGACGCTATCAGAGTCTGGTTTCCCCTCTCTACTGGGGAGTTCGACTGTGGGTGATAGGCGGTGGCTATCGAAACTCTCGCCCCGGCTCTCTTGAACACGCTCTGAACCTCGTCGGCTAGGAATTTCGCCCCTCTGTCCATTACCATCTTGCTGACACAACCATACCTAGATAAGTACTCTAGGACAAAGTTTTTTACTTCCTTTGCCGCCTTACTCCTGATAGGTCTACCGTCCACGAACCCAGTGAAATCGTCTCGTATGTTCACGACGTAGTTCATATTG